TTCTTTTGATACTGTCACAAGAAGTTGAAGTTAAATATTTAAAATCTTTTTATTTCTATTCGTTCTACGTATTGCATCATCCGTTGTAAGGGTTTATTTTTCATTACAATAGAAATTCACATATTTCCATAGGATAACTTTTTAGTAGAATTTAAAATTCTACTATAATAGAAATTTTAATTTCTACTTCAACATATATATGAATAATATTAGATAAAATAAATTCAACGAAAATTTTCAATTTTATAAAAATAAATCTTGTACGTGTTATATTTGAAGATAGAAAAAAAATTCTATTGAATTAAATTAAGTTAAAATAAAGATAATAAATATGATAAAGAAAAAAAAATTGTAAATCAAACCTGTTATAGAAAAAGTAATAAATGAAAGTATAAATAAATATCTTAAAGTCCATGCTAAATAATTAATTAATGGTTGTATATGAATTATTTTAAGAATTTCTTTTATTTGTTTATTATTATCTTGAATAATTGAATTTGTTATAATTAAATAAAATATAAAATATATAATTGATAATAAAATTTCCATAAATATAAATAACCAACGTGTTGGAATGGTTTTATGATGACGATATGATGTACAACTGATTCGACGATAATTTAAGAAATCATTTATTGATAAATCTTCATTTAATATTTTATTTAATATTATTGAATCAATAAATATTTTAATATAAATATATAATGGATAAGAATTTTTGAATAAATCCTATTTTAATTAAAATTTATTTGATTATTAAATGAAAGATAAAAAATTTAAAAAATACAATTTGTTCAGATGGATGTTGATGTCGTTGAAAAAAAGAAAAATCAATTTTTGAATAAAATTTTTCTTTAAATTGTTCATATTCAGACATTTTAACAATAATTGAATATGAAAAAAAATCATTGGTTAATTTCTCAATATCAATTATTATATTTATTGAATTAAGATAATTAATTAATAAATAATCATCTTTTTTATATTCTTCAGATAAATTATTCCATTGTATTATATTTGTTTTATTATATAATAAATAATTATCTTCTTTTAATTTATATTTAATATCATTTAATATTTCATTATATAAATAATTATCATTTGTTTTATTTAAATAACGTAGAATTATATTTAATTTTGAAGATTCATTTAAAAATAAATCATCATAAAAAGTATTATTATTTATATATGGATCAATAGAACATTTTTTATGTTGATCATTTATATTAAATAAATAATTATTTTCATTATTATTAAATAAATAATGAGAAAATAAAATAATTATTATAAATAATATTAATGGAAATAATAATTCAAATAATATTAATGGAATAAAATAAAATATTCGTTGACGATTTGTATACCTTTATATTTTAAATAAAATACAAGTTTTGTTTTAATGAAATTTATTTTTTATCTAACCGAATAATTCGTTTTAATAAAATAATTAATTTTTCCAATGATGAACTTGAAATTTTTTCATTTATTTCAATTGAACCATTTACAAATGACATTTTACTTTGGTGTTTTTTGTTTTAATATTGACCGCCATTTTTGTTTCTCATTATATTATTTCTTTTTTTAAATATAATATTATTTGAAATTAGAATTATTTTATTTCAAATATCTTTACTAAAATATAAACAAATTGATTTCATCATAGAATTTTTCATTTATTTAATATATCAGTTCATAAAAAAAAACTTGTCAAATAGGAAACCAAAAAAAAGAAAGAACTCAATTAATATATATTATATGAAAGTACTGAAATATTTTACCATATTCTTTTATGATTTGTCTAAGAACTTTATAGAATTCGATATAACTGTTATGTCTAACAGAAACATAATAACGATCATTTATTTGAATAAGATACAATGATGATATCAATCAACAAAAAAAAACGAATCCAATAGGAGTATACGTCAGATATCGAGGCAGATTGTCTGATCTTTCAACTTTTTTTTGGAAATCGAAGTATTATCTGATAATTTGAATATATTTTTTGCAAATAGGTACAAAATTGATTCATATTGAAGGAAATCTTGTTTAAGCATGGTCAATCAAACAAATATTGTTGAACACGTATTATAAATAGTTCGAGAAAATGAACTTGTTTATTATCCTCAAGAGAGATTATCAAAACAAATTTTCATAGTTATTATTATTAACTTGCCATGTTGGATAATTTGTTTTCTTTTTTAATTGAGTCTAAATTCTTTTTTGTCTGTTGTAGATTTATCACTAATTGAAAATATTCTTGAAAAAAAAAGAGTAGATGTCTTTTACAAGAAAATTCTCTTAGAATTATTTTAATTTTGTCTATGTATCAACAGTATTCAGTTTGGAGATTTTTAATCGATAGTGAAACTTTTCAACGTATGCGAGTACTTTTTAAATTGTCAATAGTTTGAAATACGATCAACTATGAAATAGGATAGATTTCCAACGAAATATTATTTAGATATTCCTATTGTGTTACGCTCTTATTTTATTTCGATGAAGGATCGTCTTTATTTACGATACAGATAATAATTATCACTTTTATTTTTACTTATACAACATCTTTAACAATTATAAATCAAATAGTCCAGAAGATATAAGCAACTTTCTACGTAGAATTTTACTATTTATAGAATTTTATTAATTTTCTTCTAAGTTCATATTGAAATAAATCTACCGTTAAATTCTCTTGAAAAAATCTATATTATGTTTGGGAACAAGTTCTATGTTCAGTAAAATTTGTATAGTATTATATGGAAATTTTCAGTAAAGAAATCAAGCTATATCACTATAAAATTCAATGTTCGATAACTATTATGTTTGTTCAGTTAACTAATTGTTTGCTCAGTATTAAAATTACAGTTTCAGTCATTAATTTAGTTTGTTGAATGAAAAATTCATTTACTCAGTAATAAGTTGTATTTTTATCAGTAATCACTTTTATATTGTCGATGAATATATGTTCATGGAAATAGAAGAACGATTGTTCACATTGACTGGTGATGACATCATCAATCAGTAGATACTATCTTACCAATGTAACAAACTTTGGCAAAAAATTGGATTCAATTGGCACGAATTTTAACCTGATTTCTTTGGTTACAAGGGCAAATTTCTCTGATTCTTTGGATTTTTTTCAAATAAATTTTAATTGATTTTTAATAAAAAAAAATAAACGATTTTAATCCGATTTTTTGCCAAACTTTTTTCCATGGGTACACCGTATCTTTCAATAATCATATAGATACGTTCTACTCTTTATTGATGTCAATCTTTACTTGACCTAATTTTTATATTTTATTATAGTTATTCGATATTTTAGTTACATATTAAGACGAATAGAATTGTTGAATTCTCTCTTTGTTCTAAATAAAACAAAGAAAAAGAAAAAGGTTCTCAATATGGTCTTCTTGTTTGTCGCTCTGTCTATCTCTATATAAATAGCTCATTTTTTTTTCTAAATAAGTCGAATTTTGATTTATGAAAGCTATTATTAATGATTTTATTTAAAAGCTAAATAAAAAATATCACTTTTGCTAACTCGGACGTGGCTGTGACATTTTAATACATTCTTCATTCAAACTAATACCGACACTAATATCCTTCTGTTAATTGTAATTACACGTTTTTTACTAAAATAAATTATTAAAAAACAAAACAAAAATAAATCAGTGAAATTTTTGAATTGTTTAATGAAGAAAAAATAATTTTTTAGTGAACAAGAACTACTGAAAATGTGATAAAAATTCATTGAACATTCATAATAAAAATCATCATGTTTTATTCGAAAGTATGAGAACAAAAAGTTACATGGAAAATATTCAAGGTATCCGAAGAAACCAGTTTTTTTAAAACGTATTTTTATATTGTTTAAGTATTTGCTAAATGATGAGAAAATTGTCAGCATATATGAAATGAAATATTNATGGCAGATGGATTATTGAGTTGACCTAATGTGCTTCCAGGATTTGAAGTTATACCAGCGACTGTTCGTCCTACATTAGATCCTTGAAATAAATAAATATCTTAGGTTTATGTTCAATTATATTTATTTGAAAGAAATACCAAATGTGTATTGTTGAATTCTATGATTACCATAATCAGCAACATATATCTGTTGATATTTATCAAAATTTATATCGTATGGACTTGATAGAAATGTTGGTGTATTTCCTGCAGTTCCTGTTGGGCCAACTATTACATTTGCTGCAGAATTCCACATGGCTGTTGAGCATAATGGTACCGATGTTTGTGCTAAACAATTCAATGCGCTTAAAACACCAACAAAAATAGAAATAAAAGCTAACCTGATGGCGAAACAGTTGTTGTTGTTACAGCTGAAATATATTTATTATTAAGTTTCATTGATTTTTATTAAGACAAACTTACGACAGTAAACCGCAAATGATTGAATACGATGATTATTTGTATCAGCTATAAATAAATTTCCAAATGCATTAATTCCCATTCCCAATGGATTACTCAATGTTGCTAATAAAACAGTTACTCCAAATGTTGCACCTTCAGTCCATTTTTGAATGCGTGCATTTGCTGAATCTAATATATAAATAGAACCATATTGGTCGACCATAACTCCTGTTGGACTGTTCAATTGATATGAGAATGAACCAGCATTTCCATTCGTATCACCAGCAACAGTTATACCATTAGCAGCACCTATTCATTTTATGGGTTTAGAATTAGATTCATCATTATAGGATTAAATCATAAATACCTGAATCCCATCGTTGGATACGATTGTTACTTCTATCAGCAATATATAGACTACTATTACTATCAACATAAATTCCCCACGGATAATATAATTTATCTGGTGTAGTACCAAGACCATTTCCACCAGCAACCTATAATTTAAAAATATTCAAAATAGAAAGAAATCTTTAATTTACCAAATTTCCAGCAGTTGTATTTCCGTTAAACCATTTAGTAACACGATGATTTGTTTGTTCTGATATATAAATATTATACTGACCATCAACAAATATACCATAGCTTGCACCAATTTGAGTAAATGCTGCACCATTACTATTTCCACCAGCAACAATATACCCAAGTGGGTCTCCTAATTGCCATCTTATAACTCTGTAATTTGTTGTATCCATTATAAACATTGTTCCATTAGCAGTTACATCTATTGCAGTTGGATAATATAATTGTGAAAGTGCGCTACCAGCTGAACCTGTTGAACCAGCTACTGTTGTACCGGTATTTGATCCTAATATCAATAGAAATATGTCAGTTTTTTCCTTTTCGTTTATTGAGAATACTGAAATATGATACAGACCTGGAGGATATCTTTGAATTCTATGATTATAATAATCAACAACATACATATAATTATAAGCATCAAAATCAACATCATATGGATTATAAAGTAATGTCGATGTTGATCCAGCCGTGCCGGTGGAACCGGCTGCTGTTGTAAATGTTGAATTCCATGTTGCTGTTGGACATACAGGAATTGTTGTTACAGCTATTTAGACATAATTTTACATTTAGATTTAAATATTATGCTTTTTTTATTTCAATTACTTGGAGGTGGAGTTGTTGCTGTTGTTGTTCCAGCTATGTNTAGGAAAAAATGAGTATTTTTGCAATAACTCAGGAACGGATCAACCGGACCTTCTCATCTTCGAACTTGACCGAGGTATTGTCAAGACTAAGCTGTGTAGAAAGTTTCATCACAATCTGACTCTGCTGTCAAAAGTTATCATGTAAACAGCCAACCGGACGGACGGACACACTGACTATTCTATAGTGTACTCACTTTTTGAGTACACAAAACTATGATTCTGTTCAAAACTAATATCAGATTCAGAATCAGCTTTAAAAACTGAGTCGCTTTATATATGTTGTGAATAATTCTGAGAAAAAATTTTTTTTTTGAAAAAATCCCTGTACCCCACCTCAGGGATGGTCTAGTCAAAAATCACAATTTTTTCAATAACTCAGCCATTTCGAGAATACTTCCTATTCCCAAAAGTTACACATTCCTGCATCGCCTTCTGACACGCAATCCCTTACCATCAATTCCGCAAAAAGCAAAAACGACCCTTTCCCTCAAAAACATGCAACAACCCAGAATTCCGGAATTTCTGCATATGCGGAATCACTAGGACATGCAGGAATTCTGGGTCATTCCTGCCTATTCCGGAATTACAAACATGTCATGAATGGCTAAATGATCATTTCTCGAGCTTGAGGAAATGCAAAGCGGAATTCCTGAATTTGTGCACAACCGCAATCATTGGGATATGCAGGAATTCCAGGTCATTCCTGCCTATTCCGAAATCACAAACATGTCATGGATGGCTAAATGATCATTTCTCGAACTTCAAGAAATGGAAAGCGGAATTCCGGAATTTGTGCACCACCGGAATGATTAGGATATGCAGGAATTCCGGGTAATTCCTGCCTTTTCCGGAATTACAAACATGTCATGGATGGCTAAATGATCATTTCTCAAGCTTCAAGAAATGGAAAGCGGAATTCCGGAATTTGTGCACAACCGCAATATTTGGGATATGCAGGAATTCTGGGTCATTCCTGCCTATTCCGGGTATTCCTGCCTTTTCCGGAATTACAAACATGTCATGGATGGCTAAATGATCATTTCTCGAGCTTCAAGAAATGGGGAGCGGAATTCCGGAATTTGTGCACAACCGTAATCATTGGGATATGCAGGAATTCCTGGTCATTCGATATAGATGCAATTCCGGAATTCAAAGGGGAATTGCATCTATATTTCTATCCCAATGTTAAGTAGAACATGAACACATGCACCTATGCAGGAATATGCACGAATATGCACGAATGTGCAGGAATGTGCAGGAATATGCACGAATGTGCAGGAATGTGCAGGGATGTGCAGGAATATGCAGGAATATGCAGGAAATCCTGGTCATTCCATATAGATGCAATTCCGGAATTCAAAGGGGAATTGCATCTATATTTCTATCCCAATGTTAAGTAGAAGATGAATACACGTACCTATGCAAGAATGTGCAAAACTGTGCAGGAATGTGCAGGAATTCCTGGTCATTCGATATAGATGCAATTCCGGAATTCAAAGGGGAATTGCATCTATATTTCTGTCCCAATGTTAAGTAGAACATGAATACATGTACCTATGCAAGAATGTGCAGGAATATGCAGGAATGTGCAGGAATGTGCAGGAATTCCTGGACATTCCATATAGATGCAATTCCGGAATTCTAAAACCGAATTGCATCTTTATTTCTATCGCAGTGTTATTTAGAACATGAATGCATGTACCTATGCAGGAATGTGCAGGAATGTGTAACTTTGCGGAATAGGATGACTGCTCGCCATTTCTTGGCGGATCCTTCTCATCTTCGAACTCGACCGAGATATTGTCAAGACTAAACTGTGTAGAAAATTTCATCGCAATCTGACTCTCCTTTCGAAAGTTATCGTGTAAACGGCCGGTCGGACACACAGACCGATTTTAGTAGTGTACTCACTTTTTGAGTACACTATAAAAAACATTTAAAACATCAATTTTGATTTATTCTTTGTATGAATTTTCTCTCATTTTTTTTTTCAAAACAATATATATCAAAAGTTTGATCACATATTATATAAAAAACATCTATGGTTTGATTTATGAATTAACATTAACTATTTCATCTTTCTCTCTCCTAAAAATGGGAAATAAAAAATGATTTTTTAAGAAAAATATATATTTATTTGTATGTGCATGTTGTAGGTCCGTATATGGGACCAGGACCACGACCTGGAAATGGAAGACATAGATATATATTTTTGCTTTATCAATCAAGTGAACAAATAAAGGAAGAGAAAAAATTCGATGATATTCCTCAACGTCGACAATTTCCGTTGATCAAATTCGTTTCTGATAATCATCTTCAATTGCTTGATGTGACATTCTTCACCGTAGATGCTTAATATTAAGTAACAGCTATGAAAGAGATATTAAAAAAAATAATAACTATTGAGTATTTTATTTTTTCCATGAAAATAAATTTTACTTCATTCTAAAAGAAGATAATGGTGAAAATTATTTTGTACATGAACATTATTATACCGATCTGTAACAATAATTGACTGATGTCTCAATAAATGGAAGTGTACTATTTCTTCTTAGAAGAAACTTCATTGGTACAGAGATAATCAAAATAGCATATTCGAATGCGTCTTTTTCTTCTAGTTCATATGTCTTAATTTTCATCAGTGTCATTATCAAAATATAAAATCGAAATATTGAGATCACAAATTCTCATCGTGCGATAACAACCTTGGATTATGCTGAATGACTTGATTATGGTGATGAAAAGTCAGTTAGCCATTGAACGTTAAATTCTATCTAAAGTAAAGATTTTTCATCTTAGGATGACTTTTAATAGGCTGTCAAAACTCTCAATAACTGGTAGTTTCCACTTCATTATTTCGATACAAAGATATTAGAAAAGATTCTGTTCTATTGATAAATTCATGCTAATCTGTAAAATCATGCAACTCTGCAAATATCTAGGCATTGTGAAACCTGAATACATGAAGTCTACGGATATAAAACATTTATTTTTAGCTCATTTTCTCTCTATTGACAGTCTTATTCTTTTTCGATTAGAGGAGCATTCAGTTGTGTTAAGTAATGATTTTAACCCTTTGAGGAGCGACTTTTTTCCAGAAAAAAGTTGCGTTTTCACTTAAAAGAATCAATCATAGTTGAAAATTAATAATCATGATCTTTTCATCCAGACTTAACGCAAAAAATGCACGGTGTCTATATCGAAATAGCGAAAACAAAATATGCATTCAAGAAGTATAATGAACAACAATTCAATAGCATATGAGAATTAAAACTAGTGAAAAAAACTAAAAATGTAATCAGTATGGAATTTCTCGAAACGACTAACAATACAAATATTTACAATGCAATTTTCACACATATAGCGTGAATTAGTCTTCTTCCCAAGGCAAACATCTTGTAAGAAAAATCTTTACCAAGATATTAGGTACAGAAAAGTAAACAGATCTTGAAAATTTAGGTACAAGTTTATGTGATTATCTTGTAGCAAGATCTGTAATTAGGTCTTGGCTGAAATATACATAGTCCAAAAATGACCACGATAGATCATGCATCGATGCCGCGAAAGACTTCTGAAATAACCTCTTCAGTGTAGAATTTGACAATGAATATGAATCTGGGGTCAGATTTCACCTAAAAACACAAGGAGCTGACATTGAGGCTAATTTTTTATTAAAAAAACGTTCGAAATCACCATCTTCATAAACATCCCTGGATGAAGATCGTATTTTTCTCGAACAGTTCAACACAATGAAGTTTCGAGCAGAGGTGAAATAATCTTTAGTAAGTGTTACTAAGTCAAGATGTTAGATCAGATTTTAAGATCGTGAGCGAGAAATCTCTCGTTTTTATATATTAATTACATCATATAAATTTGTACCCAAGATCTAATTACAGATCTTGTACCTAAATTTGTCAAGATATGCTCACTTTTCTGTACCTTGTGTCTTGGTCAAGATCTTGTTTACAAGATGTTTCACTAGGATTTCTAAGTTTTCGGCTAGTGTCTATGTACATACAACACAAGTTTTCTGAGGAGTTTTTCTATTTACTATTTAAGGTATGCACACAGGAAATGTTTAGCAGTAAGTCTAGTTAGTTGATGAGTCAGTGTAGAGATATTTCATAACGTCTATATGTGTACCACGTCTGTTGAAATACAATATTCATACTAAACCAAACAGTATTAGTGTGTTTAAAAGATTCTTTTCTTAGTCAAATTTCAAAACCGTATCTATACGGCCACGGTTCCCAAAGGATTGAATAAGAATATATCAAACTTAACGATTTTCGCAGATAAATCATGTTTACTGAAGAAAGTTAGGAAAAAACATAATCGATTTTGTTCAACGTCAGTTATTGTGCATTGCTGGATGAAAAATTTTGAAAGAGTTCTTTCTCCATTTCTTGTATTAAACTATATGAAATGTGACAGACTGCAAAAAAATTGTTACAATTAGAAACTTCAATACTTATCTGAAATTCAGATTGTATGCCTTCGTTGAACTATAGAAATGCATTTCTCTCGAAACTCATGTAAAACTGAAACGCAGACTAGACGCGTCTGGATGCATTTCAGATTTGAACGCGTTCTATTTTTGGGTCGATAGAAATACGTTTAGATGCGTTTTGAATATGATCGTGTCTTGATAGAAAAGATTTGAAAACTGGTGATGCTACGATTTAACTAACACTCGCGTTTAAATGCATTCCAGAGGCAGACATTGCTCTGTTCTGGAAACGATCAAATACGTGTAAACGTATTCAAGCGAACACAGATGTCTAAAACACGATTGAACGCGTTTTACGATAACAACAAAACTAGTTTTTTTTGCGGATAATTAGTAGGAATATTAAGAGTTTGAATATTCTTGATGGTTTTATATGACATGTCGAAGATTTTTCTGAATCAATCTATTCTTTATGATTCAACTAGATGGACAAAGTTAGTTGCGTATTAGTAAATGATCTTTTTCCAAGTATTTTTCACAAGATCATAAGAGGTCTTTGCAAGTAATATAGCATAGCTTTCTCGATATCTATATAATGATGATCTCG